TTATTAGATACATAATTTCATTATAAAATGGTTAAAAATATAAGGATTGAGTTGTAGCGAGTCAAAATATAGGAACTGAGTTACAAATACATTAAAACTATAAATACCAAAAGATTAATTTTTTTTAAAATCATTCAGGTTGTGAATGATTTCACTTTTCTTATTTAAAAAAAATAAATATCAAATTTTACTAGGTGATATGATAGAGAGTGAGGTGAGATGTAATAAAATCGTTCAGAGTAATAATGACTTCTTCAGAATTTTAAACTCATTCACACCTAGAATGATTTTAAGTGCAGTATTTTGGTAAATTCTTTCTCCCATGTAGGATCCTAGTAATTTATTTCAATGTTGGTAGCATTATGATAAATTTGCCCCATGATGATGTTTAAGTAAGCATACCTTTAAATAAACCTTAAGCCTGGTCTGTTTACTAAACCGGTGAGGCCTTGTCAAAGCCTAACGAGACTGAGTCATAGGCCCTAAATAAAAACCTGAATTATTTTCACTTCTAACCTCGCCTATCTACCTTGTTAAGTTCAAATGACTTGGTTTTAATTGTTTTTCATTTCTAATATGTTTCATTACAAATAAAAAAAACACCACTAATTATATTTTAATATTTAATATTTAATAAATTTTTAAGTTTACCATCATTTAATATATATTATGTGTTGTAAGAATATAATCTACACAATAATAAATAAAAAATAAAATTATATATTTATATAAAAAATTTAATATCATGACTTATAAATATGAAAAAAAAAAAATTCTCTATCCACCTGTCAAATAAGACGAGGGGTAAAATGTTTCATCTTTTCTCCATTTTCCGTTTACTTGTGTGCAAGCTTATGGTATATTATACTCATTTGGTACTTAATATAAGACCTATTTAATCAATTCAATTAGATTAAAGAAGTTAGATAAGTTAGTTAATTATAAAAAAATATGACATGTTTTTCCTAAAACACCATAATAATCTTTCCTAATATCTTTCCTTCATCACTCACTTGATCATAGTTGAGAGAGTATCTATAAAAATAATTTAAAAAAATTAATAAATATAAAAAATAGATATTATATTTAGGATCAAAATTAATTTAATAATTAATTCCTATACTAAGAAGTATAAAATAATAAAAAATCTGGTTGCATTTTGAAAGCGGGCAAGGAAAAGGCTACAAGATGGTCAATGAAATTTACGGACCAACATTTTAGCTTCTATGCATAGCGGCGCCCTTTGCTATTTGGTCCACAACACAAAACAGATAGGCGTTAGCCATCTTCTTCTCATTCATTTCTCCTTACTCCAAATACAATTCTTTCCCATTTTCTGTGTTATATCAGGATCAACGTCATCCATGGGAGAAGTAGAAGTAGCCTTCATCCAAGAACCTCACCACAGACCCGACCCGTCTCTCGTACAAGAGGCCCGAGGCATCCCTCTCATTGACCTCTCTTCCCCCGACGTTGACGCCCTCATCGACGACATTGGCCACGCCTGCAAGCAATGGGGCTTCTTCCAGATCATCAACCACGGCGTTCCGTCGGAGCGCCGACTGAAGCTGGAGGCGGCGGCACGGAAGTTCTTCCATCTGAGCTCCGACGAGAAGAGGAAGGTGAGGAGAGACGCCAGGAAGGTGTTAGGGTATTACGACACAGAACACACCAAGAACGTCAGAGATTGGAAGGAGGTGTTCGATTACACAGTGCAAGAACCCACTCTCGCCGCCGCCTCCATTGATCCTGATGATGATCGAGTGGCTCACTGGGAGAATCAATGGCCTCAAAATCCTCCAGAAATGAGGTAAATTAATTACACATAACACTATGGGTTAGGAGCCTAATGCCCCATGAACCTCGCTCCCAAATGTTCTTTTCCTTTTCACAATTGGATTTTATGTAAAATTTTTTATAAGCGTAAAATTGTATATTTTAAAACTTTTTTATTGTTTCTTTTAAAAATTTATGGTAAAAGTGCATCATTTTTTTTTATGGTGCAATCAACGTTTTAATTTTTTTTTGGGTACGTATAAAACTCTAATCTCATGTTAATTTTAGTGCATCTAACATTTTGAAATTTAAGATGCTGATGTAATTTAAAAAATAATTTTAGAGTGTGTTAAATATACTTAAAAAATAAAATGAGGGTGTTGAATGTATCATATTTACCTAAAAATTTAAAGTATAAAATAGGGCATAATTTTAAAATATTTTTTTCTTTGAAAATCATAGGAAAAAAAAAACTCAAAACTGCATAATGCAGTTTTTTGTGACGTGAACCATGCAGAATGTAACTAAAATAATAATTTCAGAATATTAGATATATATTTGTCCAAAAAATTTAAGGTATAAAATAGTCCTTTACATCAAAATGTTATTCACGCAAAATTTGCCAAAAAGAAAACGCAAAAAAAGATTTGAGAGGTCAGCGCGTTTCAAAGGATACTACAGTTCGCCCATATATATAAGAGCCAGATCTCTAAAAGTAACAAAGTTTTTTTGTGATGCGCACCATGCAGAGAGACGTGTCAAGAATGCAAAGGACATGGTGGAACTAGCCAATAGATTGATGGAGCTAATAATTTCTACGAGCTTAGGCTTACCACCACGGAGGTTCGAAGATTTCTTCAAGGACCATACCAGCTCCACCAGAATCAACCGGTATCCGCCATGTCCGTCCCCTGAGCTTGCTCTCGGGGTGGGCCCACACAAAGATCCTGGGGTCTTACCATCCTTGCCCACGACGAAGTAGGCAGCCTCGAGGTGAAGCGAAAATCGGATGGCCAATGGGTTGGGGTCAAACCAATACCCAACACTTACATCATCAATTTGGGCGATGTTCTTCAAGTGTGGACGAATGGACAATATGAGGGCGTAGATCACAGAGTTATGGTGAATTCGGCAAAGGAGAGATTCTCAATACCGTTCTTTCTAAATCCTTCGCATTACACAACGGTGGAGCCATTGGAAGAACTAACTACCGACCAAAACCCACCCAAGTACAAGGCTTATAATTGGGGCAAGTTTGCACTGACCAGGAAGCGCAGTAACTTCACGAAGCTGCCGGTTGAAAATATCCAGATTCACCATTTCCAGAACATTCCGACCCATAGTTATTTACGAGATTGCCCTAGAATTTTTGGATGAGGATGAAATAAGGGCGGTGGTCACTTGATGATGATGAATGCAGTTCTTTTGTCTTGTGTTCTTTTTTAACTAGGTCCCATGTGATATGATTAAATAAGCATATTTATGGGCGGAGTAATTTTGTGTTTACATATGGGTGAATAGGAAAATGGCTGATCATGTGTACTGTGAGCTTTTGGATCATTTGAACGGATAGGATTATAGAATGCTGAGAAAATTGCGGCTCAAAGAAACCAACCCGAGTTTTTTTTCTTAACAAAGTCGAGAGTACTAAACGGATAATGTTTTTTATTGCAAATAAATAGAAAAATCAAACCGAGTATTGTACGTGAGAGATGCACACTTGCAGGCCAAGTATATACTTACATAAATGTATTTCGTTTCTCTTTTTTTCTTTTGTCCTTTTTTTTTATAGATCCCATGTGATATATAATTAAATAAATATATTTACTGGCCGAGCAATTTTTTTTATGGATAAAGAAAAATTCCTATAATTAAAACTATAGAAATTTAGTTAGAATCAAATCAAAATTATAGTCAGTCCCCCAAAAAAAAAATCAAAATTATACAAATTGCTTTGTCTGTAATCCCTTCTTGTTTCTTGCTCTAGTTCTGGGCTAGTCTTCTCTTTTAGTTTATTTGGACTTTGTTTAAATTAATCATAAACCAGCCTTATCTATGTAGTATTTTTACTTAGTTTAAATAAATTTTTTTAATAAAAAAATCAAATCAAAATTATGGAGACTACGTTTCATTGAGTTGAATTTAAAAACTGAATTGCAACCAAATCAATACTATGAAAACAAGAACAAAAAAAAAGAATTATTTTCCGTGATAAAATCGTAAACATCATCTCCGTGGGTAGTTGCAAAAGCCCAACAATTTCAAGTTTCAATTGTGGCAATGGCCAATACTAGTTAAACCAATGGAACCCCAAAACTTAGTTGTGACCCACATGCATAATCCGTTAATCTTCTAATTATGATTATAACATTTTATTACCGAGTCAAAAAGATAAGGATGTCAAATGAAAAAAAAAAAAAAAAACCGAGAGCAAATTAAACCGAGTAAGATGTGAGAGAAGGATACTTGCCCGCAAGAATATATTCCATCTTTTTTTTTTAGGCCAACAGCAAGAGTATATTCTATAATTACAACCTACTTGTGAAATTGATTTTGATCCTAATTATAAAATTTATTTATCATATTTATTAATTTTTTTAAATTATCTTTATTAATACTCTCTCAATCATAATTAAATAGTTGATGGAAAGAGGATATTAAGAAAAACAATTATGATATTTAAAAAATATATTATATTTTTTATAATTAACTATCTTATCTAATTTTTTAATATAATCAAATTAGTTAAATAAGCTTATAACTACCACTGGCCGTTTGGTCGAGTGGTATGTATATGTGTGGGGTGTGTGCATGTTGCGGGTTCAATCCCCTCCCCTTGTAACTAAAAAAAGGAAGCCTATAATTGAAAGAATATAGTTAATAAAAAAATTATTTTTATTGATACTCTCTAAACCATAATCAAGTATTAGATAGAAAGAGAATATTAAGAAAAAATTATTATATTTAAAAAAAATGTAACATTTCTTATAACGAACTACCTTACCTATTTTTTTAATAGAATTAAATTAGTTACATAAGCTTAGAATTGACAGAATATATTTAATAAAAAATGGAATTTCCTGAGACCTGAACCAACATGTGCTTCCTCAGTTGCTTTGGTCAAAAAAAAAAAAAAAACCAAGATGTGCTTGCAGCTCAAGCATTCGACACAGGTATTTCATGAGTTTCTCCGCCAATCCATGGAACCCCAACCTGTTCTTCTTCTTCTTCCCATATAGCTGTTGACGTTGAAGTGCCCGCCGACCATCTTCGTCTCCGGTACGAATTGGTTCATTGTTTGTTATTCTTTAATTTTCCTTTTTTATTTTTCCGTTTTCGTTGCTCATCACAAACTGTGGGTCGGAAATTGTGGGAGTTTTGGGGTTTCGAATCACCTAATCATTTAGGGTAAAACACAATCTCCTGCTGACATGGTTGCAGTTTGGGGAGGAAGAGAGAGAGAGAGAGGGGGTTAAGAGTGTGAGTCTCCCAAAATCAGGGGCCGTTAGAAAAATAGCTTTCCTGTAAACGAGATGTTGTTTGATATTTTTAATGACATTTAAAATTTTTGATTTCACTGACTTGTCAAAAATTTAAAAGCAAGCATCTCTACTTTGAGAAGAAATTTGTGAAGACTTTAGAAATGGGAGTTTCTTCTAATATGTTATCTTTCTGTTGTACTTTGAATTCGAATTGAATAGTGGAGGTTGTATTGGTTTTTTTCCCCCTCTGTTTTCATGTGTTTATTTTAGATTATGTAATTTTCTGGGCTCACCATCCATCCATTGTTTGATTTGAAGCAAAGGACAAACTTATATATTCAAAATTCAAATTTGGAGTTAATTTAAGTTTAGGCAACGATATATAATTTAGTCAAGTTATGAACCAGTTTTAGTTTTTGATATTATCCTGATAATTTAGTCTAGCAATAATCATAGGTCATATAAATATTAGAGCATTGATTAATGAGAGCTTGTCAAGATGTGCACGTTATAGCAATCTAATATATTAATCAGATTTGAGGATCTGACTTCTGATCCTCTTGATTGTTTTGTTCTTTTCTTCCTGTTCTAATTGTTTTTTCCCCTCTCATGTTATTATAGCTTTACTGCTTTATTGTCTTCTGAATCTGTCAATGCCAAGGGAGAGTGTTTAATCGTCATTTTGCTCGTCAGAAGAAATTACTATAAACTCGCTGAAGAAAATTAAAAAAATTAATTTAAAATATATTAATATTCTCTTAATTTATAAAATTAAGGAATTAAAATAAAAATTTGTTTTAAAATTAAAATATTAGAAACACACCTCTATTAAAAAAGTATATATAAATGATTTGTTGTGCAAGAACTTATAGAGTTTAGGGAAAATTAATTTTTTTGGTCACTATAGTTTTGAGTTGGTTTTAACTTCATCTTATATTTTAGCTTGGTGCCACTTAGTTCATATAGTTTTAATTTTGTTGTAACTGGAGTACTGAATTTTGACGCATTGCAACTCAGTCTCCATATTTTTAACTATAAGGGCTAATTTGCATTGAATCAAAGTTTAAGGATTGAATTATACTTAAGTCAAAATTAAAGAAACTGAGTTATAACTAAGTCATAATTATATGCACCAAAAAATTAATTTTCCCAAACATATATAAATGACTAGGAGTGCAAGATTTTATAGATTTTGATACTCACATTGATTGCTTCTTTTTGGCAGTGGTTAAAACAACTTTTGGGAAATCCATCCAATCCTCACAAGAGCAGCCTACAATATCATTCTGCGTCTCTTGTTCTTTCGTCCATTTTATTTTTAATTGGTCACGAATTGAGGGACGAAATTTTTGGGAGCTTGAGGATTTTAAATTAGATAATTAAGGGTAAAACACAAGTTCTTGTTGGCATAATTTCCGATTTGGAGAGGAAGAGAAGAGAGAGGGTGGTGGGTTTTTTTGGACTGAGAGAGGGTGATGTTTGAAGGTTAAGAGTGCTAGAATCACAAAATAAGTTAGAAAAATTGTTGTCCTGTAAACAAGGTGATATTTGATATTCTTATGATATTTGAATTCTTCAAATTCACTGGCTTGGAAGCAAATATAAAAGTTAATCGCTCTAGTCTAAGAAGAACATTTTGAAAACTTTCTTGCTCTGTGAATTTTTCTGTTGTATATATGGGTTGCCATATATATACGATTTTGTTTTGAGGGGATTTGAGTTAATGTTATATTATTATAAACCTAATTTGCAATCTTGAAGGGGACTTTTGCATGTGTTTGAAGTGGGACTTGATACCAATTGTTTATCCAAGGCTTCTTTATGTAATCTGTGTTATACGTTGAATTTGAGTCGGTGGACTTGCATTTCTATCATCTTTAGTGGATGGACTTTTTCTTTCCAGTATGTTAGTTTATTACTTCTCTTTTTGTTCTGGAGCGGATTAGCTATTTCCATGTCTACAATTCAGATTGAGAAGTATTTTTCAGGGTTCTTCGGTCCTCCATTGTTTTAAGAAAGGGAAAACTTTTATGTTTAATATCCAAATTTCAGGTTATTTTAAGGTTCACGCAGTGAGATATAAGATGGTAAGTTATGAACTGGTTTTAGGCTTGATATTATCCTGACAATGGGATTTTTAAATAATTTAGTCTTGCAACTATGAGTCATATATATAAATTATAGAGTACTAGTTAGTGAGACTTGTCAAGATTTACAGATTAAGCAATCCTATATTTTAATTTGATTTAAAGGTCAGAGTTCTGGTGCTCCTCTTTTTGTTCATTCCTTCCTTTTTTGATTCTTTATTATTATTGTCCTGTGAATATGACAGAGCCAACGTAGAGTGCTAAACAATGATTTTGCTCCTCATAAGAAGTTACTATGAAATAGCTTACAAAATAAATAAAAAATCAACTTAGAGTCAGCTAAATGCTAATCATATCTTTATTGCTCGTTTTGGGGCCTATTTCACTTTGTTACTGAAGCATACTCTTGTTCTTTCTTTCTGTTTTGTGAATAGTAGATTGGAAGAACTGATTTTGTTTCCTTCTGTGGGCTTGTCATCTATTGTGATTTTAGAATAAACGCGGGTTAATTTTATGTCATTTCTCATTCTCGCATTTTATCATACTGTGATTTTAGTTGCCTCAAGGTTGATTCTTTTGACAATCATTCTGATGTTGCCAAGAATACTCACGTAACTTCTCCATGAGTTTTAACCATCTGAATTTGGTTAAATTCACATTTTTACCTATGTCAATTATATTACCAAAAACTTTACTAAGCAACAAAGGTCAATAACTTCTTATATTAAGGATTTGATATTTAATTTAAAAAGAATAATGCTTACAAGCAAACAGTTCCATTTATCGTCATATATATAAGATCTATTTCCTATGTTGATTAATTTTTTTCTGAAATTAACCTTATTGATATTTCCTTAGCAATAATCAAGTAGGAGAAGAAGGGAGGGAATTAAGGAAGATACTTACTAAGTTTTAGGGAAAAAAATATCATATTAACTAATTTAACTAAAATTCTTAATGTGCTCAAATTAGTTAATTAGGTCTTATATTAACTAATTTAAGTAACTTTCTTAATCTATTCAAATTAGTTAATTAGGTCTTATATTAAGAAAGATGAGTATTTTGATAGTTTACTTTACACCATATTCTTGAATCAATTGGCTGCATGGCAGCAAGAAAATGCATGTCAGAATATAGATGATTTGACGGGAGAGAAACAAGATTAGTATAGAGAATTTTTGCCTAATGTTGATTGCTTCTTTTTGGACAGTGGTTACAACAACTTTTGGGAAATCGATCTTCACAACAATCTTCACGGCTAGGTCAAGCAAGCCACTGTGATGGGTATATTTAGATCCTCCTTCTCCTTCTTAACAGGGACAGTCTTTGGGGTATACTTGGCTCAGAACTACCAAGTTCCCAACATCAAGAAGCTTACTGAGACTGCCAAGTTTATGGCCGAAGAGATTGAGGAAAAATATCGCAAGCCCAGGAAGCAGGATGGAGATGACAACAACTCTGTTTAGGGCCTGTAGGAGACAATATTGAAACTAGATTATTGTTTTTGAATAACTGAATACATTTTTTTTTCCAATTTAGATTTGTCAGTTTGACATGAGTTCCCCAATCTTACCATAAGTTCTATGTAATATATTGATAATTTTTTGCCCTGGGTTATTTAGGATTAAATATTAAAAGGGTATTGGGAAATAGGAATGGTGAATAATATATATATATATATGTATAATTGTTTCTTTTCCTCTCTAGGGAAATATTTGCATCTTCCCATGCCTTGCCTGCTCTATCATGTTCTTTCAGTTGGAAGTTAATGAAATCTAATGTGGCCAAGCTACATCTTATTGTCCTATACCAGAAATTAATTTCACGGTTATCAGATTTTACATACTCATCTATAATATATTTGTTAACCTCATCCAATCTTCAACAACCCCTATGTGTAAAAACTTTCTAGAGTTTCTTCCTTCAAAATGTTATTTTTGTTAATTAATATTAAATTGTTGCCCATGGTAGAAATTAGAAAAGAAGATATAGTCTACTTTTCTGTCTATCCAAGAGTAAGTGTTAGAATTCTTTTTCACTTTTGTCTTGTACCTCAATTTTCTTTGTACTCTTAAATATGATTGACTCGCTAATTACACAAGATTATTGCAAAGTCCTCTAATCTACATTAAATTATGAGCATGGAAATCGTAGCTCCTAATCTAAATAAATCTTGACATGCATTTATTTGTCTTGGGTTAAGCCTACTTAAGGAAGTGAGAGGAGAAATATCATATCTTGAATTTGATGAAGTAGTTAGTTTACCCACGCAAAACAGAATGAAAATGTGGGAATATTGTATATCTATTGTGAATATTCTTTATTAGGAATTATTTGCAAATTTACCTTGGAAGTATACGATCAGAAACTATGGGTGTTTGGAAATTTTTGAAGTCTCAATGTTGTTTTGGAAGCTTAAAAAAATGTAGCAATATTGCTCTAGCTGTTACCTCAATTAATTTTGGCCGTTAAGTTTGACTAACTTGCTTATGTGGTAGCCACATGGCATGCCACATCATCATCTATCTTTTCCTCTCTTCCACATCAACTTCTTCCTCATCATCCTCCCCGCTCCCTCTTAAATTCAGGATATTCCCCCCTCTTTTTTTGTCCCTCGGTCTCCCTCTCCCTCCAGTCCTTCCAAGTTCCAAAATCCAAGTTGATGGGTTAATATACATATCTTATTCTATTGCCGCACTTTGCGGATTCATTGTATATCTTCTTCTCTATTACTTTCTTAGGATTCTTTCAACAAGGTGGCCAGGAAAGAAGTATTGATTCTCCATAGCTTTTTGATGGGTTAATCTACAACTACAAATACTCAAATCCTCTCGAAGCCATAATATAGCACGTACTATATTTATAATTGATATGGCCGTGTTCGCATATTCATAGAAAATAGAGAGGAAGTTCATGAGTTTGTGAGCTTTTACTTTGTTTTACCTTTTCACTTTTTTTTTAATTAGTTGTGTATGTTTCACGTCTGGGTATTGACAATTTGGTATGTTTTAGATGCGAAGTTTGAAAGCTTAGCCTAACTAACGTTGTCTCTTTTCAGTGAAGTGACCACCAAAAATCAACAAGTAGCAAATCAGAATGGGCCGACGGGGCAAGTTGCAACAGTGTTGAAAGTAAAAAAGCAACTAGAAAAAGAAATCTCAAAGTAGCAAAGTAACTAAAAAGACAACCAAAATAGTGGCTAGGAATTAAGAAGACGGTAGATGCTTGCTTGGAGTCCGATGGTGATGAGCTGTAACAGAGTTGAATGATGGCCAGGTGAGTGTTGAGAAGGGGAGAGGGAGTTGAGGGGTGAAGGGATCTCAATATGAAACCTCTCAGCTCTCTACCTTCCATCGAACTCCTCTAAGACCATAACCTTAATCGTTTTCCAAATTTCTTACTGCCTCATGGACAACTTAGACCTAGATTTTAGAACTTGGAAGGAATATTTTAGTATTTGAGAGGGAGAAGGGAGGATGATGATGAAGGGTGTGACGTGGAACGGAGGAAGGGTAAGATGATGAGGGGACATGCTATGTGACTACCACACAAACAAGTTAGTCAATTTAATTGTCAAAATTAACTGAGATAATGGTCAAGGCAACATTGTTACGTTTTTTAAACTTTTGAGGCAACATTGAGACCTCAAAAACTTCCAAACACTCATAACTTTGGGTAATTTACTTCCAGTGTGAATTTAGAGCTTATCCCTTCTTTGTTATTGTATAGTTTTTATTAGTATTTATTAGGTTTTATTCTCTCTTAGTAATATATAAATAGCCGGTTGTATTTCACTATAACATAATACAAGAGAAATATATCTTTCTCTCAATATATCTTTCTCTCAAATTGCCCAAATGGTATGAGAGCAAGGTCCAACTCAAAATTAGTTTTCTTTTTCTTTTTGAGTCATAGATCACAAGCTAACCTCTATTGTGTATGGGATGATTAAGGACTTATTGGCTCCCCTCACTAGTCTAGGAAGGGCTAAAGGGTTCAAATCAGCAAGCCCTAAAAACTCGATCACAAGTCACATGAAGATTCTATTGGAAACAGAGTGGTTATGCATAGTAATATGTGAAACCCCATTTTTGGCTAGATCCATGTTTCCTCTGGTATGGGTTGTGTAACATCCTAATTTTTATTTCTAAAATTTAAATATCTAAAAAGAATAATTATTTTATGAAAAATATAGTTTTATCTTCTAATTATTTGAGTAAAAAAAACTTATCCAAAAATTTGATTTTATAAAAACAAAAAAAAAAGATAAAAAGACGGGGAAATATACAAGTTTGGGCCTTAAGACCATTGGCGTAGTTTGCCCTAATTTTTTTCCCATATATAACCTTCTTTTCCCAACTTCTTGTGGTCTTTTTTTTCCTTCTTCCTGTTCATTCAACTGAGAGCCCTCCTTCATTCCTTTTCGGTCTGAAGTTTTATTTTGCAGATATTCTTGATAAGCAAAACAACCTCTTTTTATTAAACTCTCTTCATAAAAGTTGTTCTACTCATTTATATCTATCTAGTGATAATAACTTTATGCTGTTTAGAGAGAATTTTGGGTCAAGGGTCTGGAGCAAGTATTGAGTTTTAATGATTGATAATCATAGTATTTTGCCTTCTGAGCCAATGTGTTAATGTATTGTTTATTAGTATTTTACTACTTTGAAATAATGCTATGCTATTTGGAACTTGATAAGATATGTTATACTTTTTGAGCTATAAAAATTATCTTATGGGACTTTTTGGAATTGCGATTGAGAAGTTTGAAAAAAAAAGATTTATATCTTATGAATTACGTTAAAAAAAAAGATGGTTATATTTCTGGTTATATTGTGATTGATTAGATGTTGTTGGATTTTGAGTCGAGTCTTATTTTATCACATGGTAAGGCCGCCATTGGTACATATTGGTTAGTTTTTTTCACCCTCATAGTGAGGGATAAGCCCTTGTGGCTCCTTATTTGTCCCCTATGTCTAATTGACCCCCCACAGTGAGGGATAAACTGATGTGGCTTGTGTGTTAGGCCCCATAGTAAGGGTTTTCATGATTGAGATTATCTTTGCATACATGTTTTATAATTCTATTGACATATCTATAGTTTTGGAGATTTGATAACTGTCCCACTTGATACCTCACAAGTACATGTTAATATGTACGATGAGTTGAAAAGTTGGTTATTGAGGCTTTTGACTCACCCTGTGGTTTCTAATATTTTCAGGTGATAGTTTAGGTGTTAATCTATTAGGGAAGGCTCAGGAGGTGTAGCATGCTATTATAGCTTGCATAACCTCTCTTTTTTTTGTTTTATTTTTTTATTGCGTTGCCATGTATGATTCATTCACTTTGATTTTGTAAACTGATACTATTGATTTTTGCTTATTGTTGGGAGAGCTATTAGAAGGCTAAAGGTCTCCAAGACCTTGCACGTGACATTCTTTTCAAAATATTGACTTTTGATTAATAGGGCTCTGTAGCTTATTTTGGAAGGATTTATAAGTTTGTATGTTTGAAAGTATGAGATTTCAATTGGGATTATGATTGACTATTAATGGACTTCGAAAGTCTAAGACCTAAGTTAAGGATTGATACTGCTTGTGATATAAGTTTATTCCTTTTAACCATAATAATGGTTTTATGATTTTAAAGTTTCTTCTTTTCTATCATGGTTAATTTTTCAACTAAATTATTTGATTTAGTTTAATTTTGTTTTGGAAGAACGATCATTACAATTTAATATCAGATTCAAAGATCTTGTGAACTGTAAAGCATTACATTACATTTAGTGGCAATATACATTAGTCTGAAATAATCTTTCCTGTTAAATTGCGTATGGTTGACTTTTTTCTTTTCTTCTTTTGGTGGCTTGCATCCTCAGTTAAGGAGGATGGTATATCCAAGATCCTAACAAACTAATCAAGGTGATGGACAACCCATAAACCTACAAACCAACCACTAACTCAGCCTCTTTGTAATCAAGATACTTGGTTGTAATAGTTAAGAGATGTTGCGATAATGGTAGTAGAAGAAAGAGTATAAAAAGTTAGAGTAAGATTTAAGAGCCAAAAGAGTTGTTGAAGAACCTGAAGAGAATGGGTAGTGATACACAAAAAATTAGGCAATTTAGTTAGCTTAGTGCAACCTGAAGAGGCCCAGTCCATGTAAAACCATACCCGACCAAGTAACTAGACCAACCAGATTGGTCAGGTTAGTTGGGCTAGACCGGGCTCAAGACTAAGGGTCCAGACCACCTAGTATGGTCCAACCCGAGATTTATTTTTTTAAAAAAAATTTTGTCCTTTACCCATTAGGTCTTCTCTTTTCTTCTTCGATGTCACTTCTGCCTTCTTCCTTCTTTGTCTTGTGCTCTTCTTGGTTTCATCTTCAAGCTGCTCATGGGTCGTAGGTCCTTCGTCCTCAATTTTATCTCCACTCCCTCTTTGTTCTTGCTACTGTTGTTAGTTATCTGTCCACCTCCTTATAGCCATTCTCTCTCACAGATCATTTTATATTAATTTTTCTATGCTTTTCTGAAGAATATTCACTCTTTTTATGTTTCTTTCAACTCCTTTTTTCTTACAGATTCGTTCTTGTTTTTCTTAGCTTTGTTTATATTCCTAATTTGTTTTCTATTATCAAATTATGTTTTTTTTTCCACTAATAATTTTGTAGAAGTTTGAGTTTATTTTTTGCG